AAAAAAAAAAAAAAAAAAAAAAAAAATAATTTTTTTTTTTTTTTTTTCAGTGGCCCTAATCCTCTTCCGTAGTCTGACACTTTCATTTATATTGTCCTTTTATGTCAAACTGTTATCGTGATGCGTTTCCCAAAGCCTTTGGAAAACAGTAAGGCCCTAACCATCACAGATCCTCTGCTATGCCTAACAGTGGGTATGAATGGATCTGCCCCATTTTTTTTTTACATCAAAAACTCATACAGTGTTGGTTCCTAAATTGTTCATTCTTGGTGTCATCTGACCAAAGGCTGGCCACCTCTACCTCTTTACATTTTTGATGCTTTCCAAAACAAGCAAACAACAAAACATAAGATTTTCTTGTTCTTGATGTCAATCTTTGCTGCAGCTCTCTGGCAGCTGTTTTCCCTCCATCAATGAATGAATATGTTGAATTTAGAAGCCACTTTAAGGGGGACTGGATCTCTTAATAGACTTTAAAGGTACAATTCATGGTTCTGTTTTGATTTAAGGCTCTGCTGCAGCAATAAAGAGGAGAAGGGTCCACTCATAAATGTGTATGCCGCTGTGATTTGCCGTCCCTTCTCCAGTAAATGTTTATCCCAGTCTCCTCTCCGTTTCTAGATATGTACATCCTGGACGATGACAAGTGTGACGGTTTGGACTCGTCAGACGACCCCTCATTCTATCAACACTCCAAAGCAGTCAAAGATCGCAGCCCGTTCACAATCCTTGGTTCCACGCGCTTTGTTCGTCCCCGCTTCCTCAACTCCCTCTCCCTCCCCAGCAAGAAGGTACGCTCCACCAGTGACCCAAAGAGTTCCACGGGCTCTCGCACTCTGAACGATCTGAAGATGGAAAGCCCGAGGCGGAACAGGACAGTGACGGAGCCTTCAGTCTACAGCCACGGGGACGTATTCAACTCAGTATTTAATGGCCGAGGAATGCCAAAGAGTCCAACGGTTAGCCTGGAGACGTCCTTTGTTGGGACCAGGGGCGGCTCTGAGGAGCAGCTTGTGGAAGGCAGGCTGGTGAGGGGAGGGGGCTCCGGCCTTGGACTCAGCGGTCTGGGGGGACACGGGGTGGTGGAGCAGCACAGGGAGCAGAGCAGCCGAGAGCGCCTGGCTGGAGAAGGCGGCTCCTCTAGCGGGGGTAATGTGGGAGGGGGTGGAGGAGGCGGGGGTACTCAGTTTAAAAGCCGCAGTCAGAGCTTTAACACGGATACGACGACCAGCGGCATCAGCTCCATGAGCTCCAGCCCCTCCCGCGAGACCGTCGGGAACCCAGATCACCCCGAAGTGGAACCAGACTCTTCCGACTGTGTGAGCCTCAACACCGTTGTGTCTGCAAAGACGGTCAAAACCCTCTCCTCCCTCAGCCCCCAGCCTCAGACAAACCACATGTGCTCCTCCAAGTCCCCCAGCGTTTCTCTGGTCCCGCCAGGCTCCTCGCACACCCTCCCCCGCAGAGCTCAGTCTCTTAAGTCCCCCTCGGTCACAGCCATCAAGAGCCTGGCTGACTGCAGCATCATGTACACCAGCCCCAGAGACGCGCTGGGTTACGCTACACTGAAGAGGCTGCAGCAGCAGAGGATACACCCGTCTCTGTCCCACAGTGAGGCTCTGGCTTCACCCGCCAAAGACGTTCTGTTCACAGACACCATCACCATGAAGACCGGCAGCCTGGACTCCAGGTTAACTCCTCGCAGGTGGGTCCTCTCTGATCGCAGGGGTGGTCGTCTGTTTTTTTTTTTTTATCCTGTTTTGCTTTTGAAAATGTTTGTAATTCATTTTAAATCCATACGACTCTTCTGTAGCTTTGGTGCTACTCGACGTCTGGTTACTGCCGGGACAAATGTAAGTGTGTTTGTGCACCTTTTGTTGTGTCTGTCAGGCTGTCGGACAGGAGGCGCACCTGTCCAGAACCCACCGTGCCAAGCCCGTACCGCAGGCTCTCCAGAACACTTGTACCGCGGTGGGTGGATCTGCCCAGTGTCGTCCTCAGTAGAGAAGCAGCCTGTAGCTCTAATTACTCCTGCTTGTAGAGGAATAGTTCCAGCTCCAACCTGCAGTCGATGTCCCATTAGCTAGATCAGAGCTGTTCAGATTTACATGCACTCGTCTTCATAACGTCTGACTTATAATTATTTATTTGAACAGTTCTCTCTTTCCAGGGTGGAATGATCGTACCAAATGATTTTCACAAATTCACATGACTTATATGAACATACACTAATGGTTAAATCAGCCAACTGCTTTCATCAAGCTTCAAGTGAAGCTTGATGAAAGTGTTTTTTATGTGAAAAAAAAACCTGCTTTAGTTGATAACATGGGGTTCTTGTCCTGTTAGGAGACACATCTGTGTCCAATTTGCACCATTTAGCTGTGGATTTACATCCAAGCATCCATCAGCCTAATGCCTCCACCTCCGTTCATGACAGTTTGCTTTCCCTTGATTTGAAAGCCTCACTTTGACTCCACCAAAACATCTGACCAGAGCAGCTCAGTCTGTGTCATGTAATCCTTAAACGTTTCTAAAGGCTTTGTCCTGGGCTACATGGGAAACTGCAAATGTCAGTAGATTTGCACTATCCTTTAAAGCCATCAGTATAAGTATTCCAGCATCCTCTAGTCTACGACAGGTTTGACACTTTGTTGGTTCTGGATTGTTCTTGCAGCACTGAACCAGTTTCCTTTTTATCTGAGGGAGAGGATTAAAATATAATGTTCCAGGTTTTGAGGTTCATCATCATCTCCTTAACTCCTTAAAGCGTGCTTTTTTTCTTCTAGTATGGTTGTCGTTGAAACTGTTGATTAATTCCAAACACAAAATCGATGTTTGTGCTCACAGTCTTGGCCATTAAAGTTGAGTCTGACGATTAGATCTGAAATGGCCCTAATCGTAACCCTGTAGCCTATCTGTGTGCTATAATTAAAAACTAGGTCTGTTCCAGAGAAGTAATAAATGTAATCAGGCTCTGCCATGTCTGATAAGACATTTGGTTTAATACTCTGCCAGGTCAGGACTATTGTTTCTGTTTTAGTTTGCTTTATTGGTCGGGTGTATAAATACATCTAAACCTTTTTCCAAAATGTTGATCCTTTTGCGAAAAGGCTCCAAAAATCTAAACATGGAAAAACATCTTGGTATCATAACCCATCAAAGGCTTTGGGTGTAAAACTATATAATTCTGCAATAGAGTAATTTATAATCATGATTATTACTTAATGGTGTTCCTTTGATTATGATAAATAGACCTTAAATATTTGTTGTAAATATAATCACTGTAGTTAGAGTTAAATGTGTTTAGGTTCCTTGTGCCTAGAATATATTTAGTCAAAACAAGGTTTTAAATGCTGAATGTAGGGCTGCAACCTACGATTATTTTGCTAATTGACGAATCAGTCAATTATTTTTTTTCGATTAATCAATTAATAAACAGATAGCAAAAGGTTTGATAAAGAAGATTTTTACAGAATTAAACCAGGTCAAAATAAAACTTTTCCACTTTTGGAGTTCATAGCACATTTTTTTTTTCCACATATTTTTTAATCTTAAATGCAAAACGATAGATATTCTTACAGTTTTCTTACAATTACTGCTCTAAGTGGGTTGCTCTGTCAACTAAAAGCATGTTTTAGAAACTATACATCCAGTTTACGCTTAATCAAGTACTAAATTAGTTGACGAATATTTCAATAATGGATTAATCACTATTAATCCGATTAATTGTTATACTCCACTAGCCTTTTCTTTATTTTTGTTGTTCAAACAGTGAAAAATTGAATTCCATAGATAATTTCACTGATTATTCTGTGACGACTTTCTCCTTTAGGATTTAAGTCTGTGTCCAACTCATTTGTAATTAAAATTTTTGAGTAACTTAAAATCAAAACACACATTTACCAATAAAAAGGACAATTTTATCCCTTTTATCTTGTAAACTACTATGTGTGTGGTTTTGATGCTAAAAACGAAATGAAAACAAAGCCTGGATATGAAGGACTTTAAAGGTGCCTTTGTGAATTTGTACACCATTAGACTCACTCTGGTTTTGTTCAAATTAGTTTTTATTAAATTAACGGAGTTATCTTGGCTTGTTTTATATGTGTGATCATTGAATTTAAATATTTTTTCTATTTACGGTTAGCCCACATTAGCCTTGTTTCTTTCATGACTGACAAGGTAAAAAGTCTGGAAAAGGTAAATAATTAACAGAAAGTTAAAAGGAGTTCCTTCCTGCTCAGGTTATATATTATTTTAGGGAATCTTAAACTAATGTCATAAAACTTTTAACATTTGCCTCCATGATGTTGATTTCTGTTTGTGAACCTGATGACTATGTCCTGAAATCTAGTTTGACACGCCCCCCCTCTGTGTGGTTTTATCCAACATATCCTGGCTTACTCCCCGTGTTCCTTCTCCCTCCCAGCCTCTCCCCCCGGATCCTCTCACGCACCTCTCCTCTTGCGCTCCCTAGGTTCCTAAAAGCTCTCAGTTTCGCCTCTCTGGACAAAGAGGAGCTGCTCAGTCCCATCAGCCAAAGCACCCTGCACCGCTGCTCCTCGGTGCGCTCCATGGTCTCCAGCGCCACCTTAGGGTGCAACGACGACTACATTGGCCTGGCGCTGCCGATGAACATCAACGACATGTTCCACATCAGAGACTCTACCTACTTCCAGCAGAGGATCAGCCCGCCCTCTGAAGAGCGGAAACGCTTCCTGTTTGGCGACGGAGACGGTAAAGGCGGCTTTATGTGGGATGAAGTGCTAAAGCTGTTAGAGGTAAACAGATTTTCAGATGAATGCTGCTTTTGTCTGTGATGCTGCAGGGGATCGGCCTGCTCTGCCGTTACTGAAACAGCAGTTCAGTATCTCTGAGCTCATTGCATCTCGAGGAGAGTCTCAGAACCACATGGTGGACTCAGAAGAGACGGGTCTGCAGGATCACTCCGAGGAAAACTGTCTGTACTGCGTAGGAGCCAGCGTCCTCGGATACCAGACTCAGCCGCAGATCAAAAGCACGCAAACTCGGACAGGTGATGTTCGTCGCACGTGGAAAAGCTTTAGCATCGAAGCAGAAAATCAAAACTCTTTTTTTTTTTCTTCCCAGATTATGTTGACTTCCCTTCATGGGGTGGGCAGGGGGGGCATCGACTGGAGGTGATGCCTCAGTCCAAGTTCTCGGGGGTGTCGGGCTGCAGTGACGCTGCTGTGTCTCAAGGTTCGATCTCCAGCACGCCTACGCCTGGAGACGTCGTTATTGGTAAGAACCCGGACTGAAACTGGGGAACTAAAAGCAGATCCAGCTAGCCACAGTTAGCATCCGTTCTTCATGTTTCAAATTATCAGCTCCTGCACTTTTACACTTAAAATGAGATAATTTGATATTAGGTACTTGAAATAAGATAATTCATTTGTTTTTTTCTTATTTCAATAGTAAATTGTCTTATTCCATTGGCAAATAGTCTCACATACCTGCTTAATTCAAGAAAGAATGATGCACTTATTTTAAAGTTGTAAGGAAGTCATATCTGAATGTCAAATCATTCTGGCTTAAACATGTATATAAATGTACTTTTTATCAGACCCAAAATTTAGAAAATTTCTTAAAAGAAAATCTGTCTTAAAGTCGCTTTTTTTTTTTTCGTTATCTTATGCAGGCCAGTTAGTTGTACGTCAGCTTGTACACCTAAATTCGGTCAATCATATATCAACGGTCATCTGTCTATCAAATGTTTTCGGTCATAGCATCTTGATTCATATGTTGCAGCTAATATACGCAACGGGAGAATTTGGAATGGCAACGGTTGGAACAGCGGCTTCCCTACGACTTTAAGGGACTTAGGAGTTTAAGTCCTCATTATAATGTGGTTCTGTTTAATCTCCCACTTTGAGAAACCAAAACTACATTTTTTTCATTGTTTTTTTCTTGGTCCTCATGCAGAGGAGAAATAATTTTTGATGGTAAAACCTAAGCTTGGGTACACGGTGTCTACAAGGTGATAGCTAGTGTTAGCTTCCCACTACATTAAAACATTTGCTAGGTATATATGATGCTTTTTGCTAGATTCTTAAGGACTGTTTTCATCCAGCAGTGATGCTGTAAGGCAATTGTCAAAGCGTTCATTCAATAAAGACTGATGTTCAATGCATTCTGCAGGCGGGAAAGCCATCTCTGATGACGGCCCTGCCTCTCGAGTCCTCCTGAGGAAGGAGATTCTCCGCCTCATCATCAACCTCAGCTCTTCTGTCGGAACCAAAGGCAATGAAACAGGATTATTGACGTGAGTCAGGTTTTCTCGCCAGTTGAGCACAGACTGTAAACGGTCTTTAGCTCCGAGGGTCACCCCAATGTCTTCTCTTTTTTTCTTTCCTCAGGATAAAGGAGAAGTTTCCTTATGCGTTTGATGACATCTGCTTGTACTCGGAGGTTTCTCACCTCTTGTCCCATTGTATGTTTCGTCTGACTTCGAGGCGCTTCATACAAGAGCTCTTCCAGGACGTGCAGTTTATGCCAGTAAGGAATCAAACTCCTAAATTGGGTATTTTTCATTAATTTATTGAGCATTTTGGACTGATTCATGTTTTTAATCTCCCAGATGTATGAGGAAGCTGAAGCAATCCTGATGAAGCTTCCTGAACCCGTCGGAGAGGATGTTACCCCTCCTGCAGAGTCCTGATTCCCCCTCCCCGGCTACAGCCCTGACTCCTTTATAACTGTGGAAAGAAAAGCAGGTCTGAGGCTCTATGGACAGAGGAACCTTCAGCCCATTTCTGTTGCTTGAAACGGAGAACACTCATCGCTCAGCTTCCTCCTGAGCTGGAAACAAAAGACTTCAGTAACCGAACACACATTAAATGCTGTCTCAGAAAAACGATGAGCAGCAGAAAAGCCAAATACTGTTTCCATGTGGATTGGCAACACTGTCAAATATTCACCGGTAGATCATCAGAAAACTAAAAGGACAAAGACGGTGCAGTTAGAAAATAATCAAGTAGTTTAAAAAAAAAAATCAAATTGTGTTTTTTTTTTTTTTTTGCAGTTTTAGATTGTTTCCTGTAATGAAACAAATCATCACGTCTTACTGAATATTCCTCGGACCTTGCGTTCTTTTCTTCAAAGAAAACACTACAAACGGATCCTGCTGTCTTTAAAAACCTAACTGGAGCCGGATTCCTTCTCCTCACCGCCTCCTAAGACCTTAAGCCTCCTTACCGCACAGACGGCCTGTTAAAACTTTCTATTTCCAGTGTCACAGACAATCACCAGTGTTGTGTTTTCTAAAGCATTTTACCTGCCGCCGCTACTCGGTGAATAAGGAGAATAGCATGTAATTTAATGCTAGTTTTTTTCCCTACTTTTCTGGCTCAGAGCCTTTAATGTTTTCTTTTCCTGTGTTTTGGCATCTTCAGCGAGCTTCAAAGAAGGTGGGTCTCTCTCTTTTCCTCTAAAATGCTTGCTCGTGTAAGTAATCTGTAGAAAGGTCGATTACAGATGTACACAGGTGTTCCTGAAACGTTCACCAACCAGCAGCTCCTCGTCACAATTCCTCCTTTACCTCTGAGCTTCACACTCTACTGCATGTTCAACTAGCATGGCAAAGTTGCACTTCACCCTAACTTATTGCTTTTTAAAGAAGTTAAAGGTTGCCATTTCATGTCGCCATACATCGTAGGAATGGTTGCCCCTCCGCCATGCAATATCACTCACTGTTGGAGCACGACGACAGAGGAGGGGGCGGTTCAGTGCGATGACTAAATGTAAAAGGTATCCAAGGAAACAGGTTGTTTCCATTGGCGTTTTTTTTTTTTTTTTGCTACAATGCTGCTACACAAGTGGACTCATAGAGAGATGATTCATAGATCCGCTGAGTGATGTCAGATCCGATCTATTTATTATATGTCTGTACCATAGTGAGCTCAACCAGAGAAGAAAAAAGTTATTTATATTTTTCCTCAAGACTGTATTATAATTTAATTTTTCTTTTTTGCCTGAATTGTGTTTCCCTTGTAAAATGTGTACAGTATGTTTTTGGGGCACCGATGACCTAAAGAAACATACGATCCTATCAAAGGGATGCATTGTTAATAAAACAAAATCTGAAACACCCAGAGGGATTCTCACTTCTTTTTTTCTGTTTAATTTTCTTAAAAAAATTTTTTCTAATGGTTCATCCATGAGCGAGCTGTTTAAAAAATGAATAAAAAATAAATTGAGAAAATCTACTTTATGGTAGATAAAAATCTACTTTTATCTTATTAAAGTGTTTGATAAATGTTCCTAATGCAACATTTAGCTTCTTAGCTAGCTCTTAATGACAGTTTTTATCAAAGTTTATGAAGGTTATTTTGTTTCTAAACTATTTGTGCATTGTAAGTGTGAATTGGAAGTTGTAGAGAGAGTTACATTCTAAGTTTTGTATGTTTAGAATAAAAAATAAAAAATCACAGGTACAATTTTTTTTTTTAACACCTGTTCAAATTTTAAGTACAAGAACACAAATTCTGTTCTACAAGTTGCACATCAAAATCCTCTTACATTCAGTTTTGCTACAGTTGATCTAAAACAAATGGTGCAAAACAAATTCAAACACGTGTATTAAAATCTTCAAAAAATATGTATTTTTTTTTTTCCCTTAACACAAACACAAATCAATTAATACAACTGCGAGATTCTGCAGCCGTGAGTCACAAACTCAACTTTAAAAGTTACGCCTTCATTTTTACTTTTGACACAAATGTCACACCGGTAAAAATGGTCTTCATAAATTCACAAACTTGCATTCTTCTTCATGCATCTTAATGAGGAAGCATTTGCAACTCTTTGGGTTAGTTGGTAAATAAAAAATAAATTAGTCGACAAACCAGAACAAAAAAAAAACTTTTCTAGATAACTGTAACTTCTAATTTTCTATTATTAAAAGCAATACTTATTTTGTGTTAGAGGATAAACATTTCTTCATTTGTTTATTGTACCTGTAAATGTATAGCACATAATAAAAACGAATAAAAGGTGGAGTGTGCCCTATTAATGATCTAAAAAAGGCTTTTGTTTGTGTTGTTTACTAAATTTGACTCATCACTTCATCTGATTATTCATTTATCCATTTCTTTTACACCTGCTTGATGCTGTTTTGATTGAAGGGAGAGCTGGTGGCTCTCTGCATCAATCAATTGGTGAAAGGCAGGTTACTAATAAAAAAAAAAGGCAATTTCAAGGTATCATGTTGCGTTGTCTTTGTTTATGCATTATTTATTATTTTAAAGTTTTTAAACAACTTTATGTTTTTATCAGCCTTCTTAATAGTCCATTTGAAGATAGAGACGGAGTTGGGTTAATGATTTCCACATTGAGCTGCATACGTGACTCCAAAGCTGCTTTGAGTCCATCCAGTCCAACTTTATACAAAAGAAGTGTAGAGAAAAGTGTTTATACAGGTGATGCTCAGAGAACAGTAATCTCCTCCTCCTCATCGATTTCTCAGGGGTTTTTGCTTTCAATTGAAGATTTGCTGGAGTTTATCCCTTCATTTATTTCTTAGGGGTTTTGGCTTTTATTCAAAGATTTTCTTTTTCATTTATTCCTGAGTGATCTGGAACTTCAATTGAAGCTTTTTGGAGTTTGAATCCAGTTCCAGTTTTAATTCATGCTTTTAAAGTGCAATGTTTTCATACACCTCTTTAGGTTTTTCATCCGTCATTGATTGTTCTCTATCCTGTTGTTGGTGCAACAGCACTGCTTTATTCACACCAGGACCTGAAAAACAAGGATCAGGATAACTTAAATTTGTCTGTTGTCATTTCCTGCCATCAGAATGAAAAGCAATTTGCACATTATTGTTCATACCGAAGTAACTGAGCAGCACAGGGAGGAAGATGAGTCCGTGGGCCAGTCCCAGGAGAGTGATGACAAGATTTAAGCGGAAGAAGAAAATCTGGATCAGCTGAGCTTTAGCAAATGCCAAAACAATAATGCCTGGCAAATTGGTCATTGCAACACCAGCAAACACCTTCAAGGATAAAAAAAAAGGATTAAAATCAACCCTAAACAGCTGTTTCTGTTTGTAACGATCAAACTCTTGGTGTTATCATTTACTTATTGGCAGACAAACAATACAATAAATTCCACTGAAGGCATTTCTTTTTTTATATACTTCCTCAGACCTTTCATCTGATCTTTAGTTTTATAACCAAGGTTAGTTTTTTGTTTAACTTAATGTTTAAGGATCCAGCTCAGAGGTTACTTACTGCACTGCCCATGTTGGCTGTCGCCTCCTTTGCTCTTTCAATGCGTGTCATCTTAGTGCTGAGAGCAAAGGCTCTGGTCATGTGGGACACAAACTCCACAGATATACCCACTGCCTGCAAATAGCATGGATTATAAAGTTAATCGAGTGAAGAACATTTGCTGCAATGATTATTTACTTAAGTATAGAGTTCATCCATTACAGGACATTATATAATGAGTGGCAGTTCCACCTGTTTAAGAAAATAGTTTTAGATTTTAGAAAAAGACTAAATTTGACTGAAATACAACAGAAAAACCCAAATTACATCAAATAAATAATTAAACTAAATGTTAATTCCTAATTAGTTACTCTTTGTTTCCATGGTAACTACATACTACTTCCTAATTAGTTTCTCCGTGTTTCCCAGTTAACTAAACTGTTTTAGTATAACTGTTCATGGACTGTTCTCCCTGCTGTTCTCTGGGCGCTGCACAATGGCAGCCCACTGTGCTCCAAGGAGTTAAATGCAGAGGTAAATTTCTCCAGTGTGAGATCAGTTAAGTTCAGTTATTATTATTGTGTGCATTCTTTGTAAATGAATAAAATATAAAGAAAGGCTGATTAGTGCAAAAGATATTCATTGTTCTGGCAGGATTTCTGACTACCCTGATAGCCTTGGGGCTGTTTAGTGCTTCCCTGAGTTATAACAGGCTTCAGATCAGGATGCATGGTGTCAGCAGATTTGTTTGTTTTTTTTTACTTTTACATGTTTTTCAACGAAAGGCAAGTGAGCTCCCAATGATCCTATCTGCAGAGGCACAAAAGGGCACAGAAGCTCATGTACTTCCTGAGAGGATGAGGAGAGCCCACCTGCCCCCACCCATCCTCACAACCTTCTACAGAAGCACGATAGAGAGCGTTCTGACCAGCTGACTCACTGTGTGCTGTGGAGGCTGCAGCACCTCAGACTGGAAGAAGGTGAGAAGAGTGGTGAGAACAGCAGAGAGGATCATGTGGGCTGCTCTTCCCTTATTAAAGACATTTTATCCCAGTGCAGTCCCACACATTATAAATGACCCCCTCAAACCCCCTCCATGGACTGCTCTCCCTGCTGCCCTCTGGGAAGAGGCTTCGAAGCATCCGATGCAGGACCAACAGATTCTGCAACAGTTTCTTCCCCACTGCCATCAGCAGTGGGGAAGAAAC